AATTCCTTACTGAAAATATATTCGATGGCCAGAGGAATGTCACTTCAAAATTTCATGCGAATCTTTAAAACGTCATAACTTCTGAACGGATTGGAGGATTTTAATGTTTCAAACGGCAAACAACGCGTATTTTGGTGAAGAATATGTAGAAATCGCAAAAATATTCGAAAAGTTAATCCTTGACCCCGCAAAATGAGAAAAACCCCATAAAAATGGTCCAATTTTCAAACGACCATAACTCCTAGAATAGTGAATATATTTCAATGAAATTTTTGTCTAAAGTAGAGCTCGTGGATAACTATAAAAAAGTATTAGACAACTTTTTTGTACGACGTCAAATAACATTACTAAAAATCAAAACCGAATTTGTAAGAAATTTAATTTTTCGACGAAATTGAAAAGTTTCAAATCAGTCTCGAAAAATTATTTTCGATTGTAGGAGACAATTACAATCATTTTTGGTTAAGAGGTATATCCGCGAAATCCTAACCATTTTCGAGAAAAAAATTCGATGAGGTGCCTAAATTTTTCGACGATATTAAAAAGTTTCAAATCATTTTGAAAAAATTATTTTCTGCCGCGAGGTTCAATTACAATCATTTTTAGTCAATACACATACCGTCGAAATCCTAACCATTTTCGAGAAAAAAATTCCTTACTGAAAATATATTCGATGGCCAGAGGAATGTCACTTCAAAATTTCATGCGAATCTTTAAAACGTCATAACTTCTGAACGGATTGGAGGATTTTAATGTTTCAAACGGCAAACAACGCGTATTTTGGTGAAGAATATGTAGAAATCGCAAAAATATTCGAAAAGTTAATCCTTGACCCCGCAAAATGAGAAAAACCCCATAAAAATGGTCCAATTTTCAAACGACCATAACTCCTAGAATAGTGAATATATTTTAATGAAATTTTTTTCTGAAGTAGAGCTTATGGATACCTACAAAAAAGTATTAAACAACATTTCCGTACAGTGTCCAACAATTTTTCTAAAAATCAAAAACTAATTTGTATGAAAAATCAGCGAGGGGCTAATTTTTCGGCGAAAAAAAAATTTCGAATCGTTCTAAAAAAAATATTTTTAGGTTCTGGGGTCAATTGCAATCATTTTTGGTGAACAGACATACCCCCTAAATCCTGCGCATTTTCGAGAAAAAAATTCAATACGAGCAGAACTTCAAACGTTAACACATTACCGACCGATAGCCTATTAATCGACTTTTTTACCGACCAACACTTACCGACCGATAACGTATTAATCAACTTTTTTACCGACCAACGCTTACCGACCGATAGCCGATTAATCAACCGCTACCGGTCGGTAAAGTGTTAATAACTTCTTAACGAAGCCTTCATCGACAAATTGGTGTTCTTGATTTTCGTCTTATTTTGGCCTCTAGAATCTGACTGCCATACCGACCTGAAAATTCGGAGCTGCTTTTAGCGACCTCTTCTCATGGATGGCGGTAAATTGAGAAACTATTCGCTGAATTAGCATTTATAGGCAGCAGCTGTAGTGTGTGCGTGCGCCTTCCTCTCTCGACTCCCACGAGGCGGTCCGAACTTACTTCGGGCAGCTTCGGAGAATCGAGAGAGAGCGCATGCGTCAGTTTGCCTTCGTCGACTCACCGAACCTCCACGAGCTCACGCATGCGTGATCTGGCGTAGTGTGAGTAGGGCACCGTCGGTGCTTTTCTGGCACCTCTGAACGCAAAGCCAATTTACTATCGCTTGACTCGTGCTGCCACCAATTACATACTGGCTCCCACATGCAATTTCCAAGCATGGTATTACAGTTTTCATGCTTATCCACCACGGTTTGCTTCTGGAATAAGTTCGGAAAATGATAATTACATAAATTGTAGTATTTTTTAACGGAATGAAAGCTACAAGACCCAGAATTGAGCATCGATCGATTAATCTCATTGGAGTAATCAATCGATTAAGATTACTTAAAGATTTCAAGGTTAGGTTGGAATGTATAAGGATGTATCTCATTGATACGTACACCGCAAATCCTTTATTTTTTATTTTAAATAGTAATACATCATTTATTTAAAAAATAACTCGACAGTCAGATTGTGTCATCATATACCTAGTGTGTGTTTCGCTTAGCATCAAAAGAAAAACGGTAGCTTGGAATGTTTGTTGTAATTCTTTTACAATCGCGATTCCTACCTAGAATAACATCGACAAGAATTTTTTTCTCGAAAATGCGTAAAATTTCCAAGGTATGTGTATTCACCAAAAATTATTATAATTGACCACTGCAACCGAAAATAATTTTTTCAGAGTGATTTGAAACTTTTCAATTTCGCCGAGTAATTTAATCACCTACTCTTGTCGATTTTTCTTGGAAATTTATTTTTGATTTTTAGTAATTTTGTTTGACGCCCTTCAGAAAAGTTGTCTAATACTTTTTTGTAGGTATCCGTGAGCTTAACTTCAGAAAAAAGTTTCATTGAAATATATTCACTATTCTAGGAATTATGATCGTTTGAAAATTGGACCATTTTTATGGGGTTTTTCTCAATTTGCGGTATCAAGGATCAACTTTTCGAATATTTTTGCGATTTCTACACATTCTCCACCAAAATACGCGTTGTTTGCCGTTTGCAACATTGAAATCCTCCAATCCGTTCAGAAGTTATGACGTTTTAAAGATTCGCATGAAATTTTGAAGTGACATTCCTCTGGCCATCGAATATATTTTCAGTAAGGAATTTTTTTCTCGAAAATGGTTAGGATTTCGACGGTATGTGTATTGACTAAAAATGATTGTAATTGAACCCCGTGGCAGAAAATAATTTTTTCAAAACGATTTGAAACTTTTTAATTTCGTCGAAAAATTTAGGCACCTCATCGAATTTTTTTCTCGATAATGGTTAGGATTTCGAGGATATGCCTCTTAACCAAAAATGATTGTAATTGTCTCCTGCAATCGAAAATAATTTTTCGAGACTGATTTGAAACTTTTCAATTTCGTCGAAAAATTAAATTTCTTATAAATTCGGTTTTGATTTTTAGTAATGTTATTTGACGTCGTACAAAAAAGTTGTCTAATACTTTTTTATAGTTATCCACGAGCTCTACTTTAGACAAAAATTTCATTGAAATATATTCACTATTCTAGGAGTTATGGTCGTTTGAAAATTGGACCATTTTTATGGGGTTTTTCTCATTTTGCGCGGTCAAGGATCAACTTTTCGAATATTTTTGCGATTTATACGCGTTCTTCGTCTAAATACGCGTTATTTGCCGCTTGAAACATTAAAATCCTCCAATCCGTTCAGAAGTTATGACGTTTTAAAGACTCGCATGAAATTTTGAAGTGACATTCCTCTGGCCATCGAATATATTTTCAGTAAGGAATTTTTTTCTCGAAAATGGTTAGGATTTCGACGGTATGTGTATTGACTAAAAATGATTGTAATTGAACCCCGTGGCAGGAAATAATTTTTTCAAAACGATTTGAAACTTTTTAATTTCGTCGAAAAATTTAGGCACCTCATCGAATTTTTTTCTCGAAAATGGTTAGGATTTCAAGGATATGCCTCTTAACCAAAAATGATTGTAATTGTCTCCTGCAATCGAAAATAATTTTTCGAGACTGATTTGAAACTTTTCAATTTCGTCGAAAAATTAAATTTCTTATAAATTCGGTTTTGATTTTTAGTAATGTTATTTGACGTCGTACAAAAAAGTTGTCTAATACTTTTTTATAGTTATCCACGAGCTCTACTTTAGACAAAAATTTCATTGAAATATATTCACTATTCTAGGAATTATGATCGTTTGAAAATTGGACCATTTTTATGGGGTTTTTCTCAATTTGCGGTATCAAGGATCAACTTTTCGAATATTTTTGCGATTTCTACACATTCTCCACCAAAATACGCGTTGTTTGCCGTTTGAAACATTAAAATCCTCCAATCCGTTCAGAAGTTATGACGTTTTAAAGATTCGCATGAAATTTTGAAGTGACATTCCTCTGGCCATCGAATATATTTTCAGTAAGGAATTTTTTTCTCGAAAATGGTTAGGATTTCGACGGTATGTGTATTGACTAAAAATGATTGTAATTGAACCCCGTGGCAGAAAATAATTTTTTCAAAACGATTTGAAACTTTTTAATTTCGTCGAAAAATTTAGGCACCTCATCGAATTTTTTTCTCGATAATGGTTAGGATTTCGAGGATATGCCTCTTAACCAAAAATGATTGTAATTGTCTCCTGCAATCGAAAATAATTTTTCGAGACTGATTTGAAACTTTTCAATTTCGTCGAAAAATTAAATTTCTTACAAATTCGGTTTTGATTTTTAGTAATGTTATTTGACGTCGTACAAAAAAGTTGTCTAATACTTTTTTATAGTTATCCACGAGCTCTACTTTAGACAAAAATTTCATTGAAATATATTCACTATTCTAGGAGTTATGGTCGTTTGAAAATTGGACCATTTTTATGGGGTTTTTCTCATTTTGCGCGGTCAAGGATCAACTTTTCGAATATTTTTGCGATTTGTACGCGTTCTTCGTCTAAATACGCGTTATTTGCCGCTTGAAACATTAAAATCCTCCAATCCGTTCAGAAGTTATGACGTTTTAAAGATACGCATGAAATTTCAAGGTACCATTTCTGGCCTCACAATAGATTTTCCGTAAGGAATTTTTTTCTCGAAAATGCGTTGGAATTCGGGCATATGTATAATGACCAAAAATACTTGTAATTGACCTCCGCAACTAAATATAATTTTTTTAGTACGATTTGACATTTTTTAATTTCGTCTAAAAATTTCAGTACCTACTCGAATTTTTTTCTCAAAAGTGCGTAGGATTTCGGGCATATGTATAATGACCAAAAATACTTGTAATTGACCTCCGCAACTAAATATAATTTTTTTAGTACGATTTGACATTTTTTAATTTCGTCTAAAAATTCAGTACCTATTCAAATTTTTTTAGACGAAATCGTACGCCATTGGGGTGAGAACGAATTTCAGTTGTCCAAGAGCGAGAACGCAAATGCGTGCCTTTCTCTCTCGACGCCCACGAGTCGGTCCGAACTTACTTCGGGCAAGTTCGTAGAATCGAGAGAGAGCGCATGCGTCAGTTCGCCTTCGTCGACTCACCGAACCTCCACGAGCTCACGCATGCGTGATCCGGCGCAGTGTGCGTAGTGCACCCGGTGCTCGATCTGGCACCACTGTTTGCGTTTGTAAACGAAAGGAAGTTGCATCGTGTATTTCGTGATAAAATTGGGAAGGAAACAGAGATACATGTTCCTGTAATATAGACTGTCAAGTGTTAACGATAATCGCTTGCGATTAAATAGTACCTAGCTAGTCATGGTTCGAAGTAGCGACAAGTAAGTGTAACACCGTAGTTGATTATTATTCTAGGTTAGCTTTATTACGTTTACTCTCACGATTCCTATATTTACACTTGCTAATTATTCGGTGTTGTATGCAATATATGCGATTGTAATTTGTTTTCCAGGGACAGGCATCACAGAAGGCGATCCAGATCCAGATCGAGATCGCGGTCGGCCACGCCGGAGAAAAAACGTCGCCGATCTAGGAGTAGAGATAGAGACAGGGAAAGGGATAAGGGACGTCACAGAGAAAGAAGAAGTCGTTCCAGGGAAAGGGACAGAGAAAGGAGCGACAGGAGGGACCGGTCCGAAAGGGACAGAGATCGTGACAGGAAACGGTACATTATAATTTAAAATAAATTATTTTCTAGGTGCGTGCGTTTTAAAACGCAGCTTAGAACGTACCGTCTTGACATTATTATAACAAAATTTTCAGCTTATGAAAGAATATCGTCGGTTATCTTTTTAAGAAATCATCGAAATGTGGGTTAATATGTTAACGTTGATTGTTCTCGGTAAACTAGTGGAGACAGTAAAGAAAAGCGTCTTACAGGATCGAAGTCTTCCCGTTCAGGCAAAGATCGGTCGAACAGATCACGATCGAGAGAGCGCAAGGAGAAGGAAAAGGGTGACAGCGATGAACTGCCGTTCGACCATACTAAGCTGGACAAGGTAATTTGCAAAGCATTTCATATGAACTATTTAGACAAACTTTGTAATATAATTTTTACAGGAGGAGGAACAAAAGAGATTGGAGTTAGAAATGCAGAAGCGAAGAGAAAGAATTGAGCGGTGGCGCGCAGAAAGGAAAAAGAAAGAGATGGAGGCAACGAAGAAGGATGGTAAAGCGTCCATCTTGGCGAACCTTCAGCTGCCAATGAAAAAGTGGTCCCTGGAAGATGACAGCGACGAAGAGACACCTGTTGTTCAGAACAGCAACAAAGAAATCAAAGAGGAAGGAGACGTGAAAGAAGAAGTCGAGGAAGTTAAGGAAGAAACTAAAGGCGAGGAAGAGGAAGAAGTGGATCCGTTGGATGCTTTTATGGCAGAGGTGTGTACGCAGATTCTATTATAATTATTCTTCCAATCGATTACAAAATTTGTTACCGTAGGTTCAGGAAGAAGTACGCAAAGTGAACAAATTAGATAACAAAGGTGCAAAGAGTGCGAACAATGGTACAGGTACAGGTGGTACGCAAAGTGGAGGTGTCGTTATAGTAACCGGCGTGGCCAAAAAGAAAGTTCAAAAACAGAAGGGAGAGTTGATCGAACAGAATCAAGACGGTTTGGAATATTCCAGCGAAGAGGAGGGTGAAAATTTGCACGAAACAGCCGCTGGTATAGCGAACAAACAGAAACGGGAACTAGCCAAAGTTGATCACGCGACCACCGAATACCAGCCATTTAGAAAATCATTTTATGTCGAAGTACCTGAAATTGGTAGGATATTCGCTAAAATTCTTACTAAAATTCAAGCATGTTATTTCTATTTTTCATGTTTCTTTTACATTCGCAGCGAGAATGACATCCGAAGAAGTGGAGGCGTACAAAGAGGAATTGGAAGGGATTCGCGTGAAAGGGAAGGGTTGTCCCAAGCCTATCAAGTCGTGGGCACAGTGTGGCGTGACGAAGAAGGAGCTGGAAGTGTTGAAGAAGCTTGGTTATGAGAAACCAACTCCCATTCAGTGCCAAGCTATCCCAGCGATCATGTCTGGTCGTGATCTGATTGGTATAGCGAAGACAGGCAGTGGAAAAACGTTAGCATTCCTATTACCGATGTTCAGGCACATCCTCGACCAACCACCACTGGCAGACGGCGACGGTCCAATCGCGTTGATTATGACGCCGACCAGGGAACTGTGTATGCAGATTGGAAGGGATTCGAAGAAGTTTACGAAGTCGTTGGGATTGTCGCACGTATGTGTCTACGGTGGAACTGGTATATCTGAACAAATAGCGGAGCTGAAGAGAGGCGCTGAGATAATTGTCTGCACGCCGGGAAGAATGATCGACATGCTCGCTGCCAACAGCGGAAGAGTGACAAATCTACGCAGAGTGACCTATGTAGTGCTCGACGAGGCGGACAGAATGTTCGACATGGGTTTCGAGCCCCAAGTGATGCGCATCATGGAGAACGTCAGGCCCGATCGGCAGACTGTTCTGTTCAGCGCGACGTTTCCCCGACAGATGGAAGCACTGGCCAGAAGAATCCTGACCAGACCAGTGGAAGTCCAAGTCGGGGGACGGTCCATCGTTTGCAAGGATGTCGAGCAGCACGTGGTGGTGCTCGAGGAGGACCAGAAGTTCTACAAGTTGCTAGAGATACTCGGCCATTACCAAGACAAAGGTTCCACTATAATATTCGTCGACAAACAAGAGAACGCTGACACTCTTCTGAAAGACCTTATGAAAGCTTCCTATTCGTGTATGTCCCTTCACGGCGGTATCGATCAATGCGACAGAGATTCGACCATATTAGACTTTAAAGCTGGCCGGACGAAATTATTGGTCGCGACGTCCGTTGCTGCGAGAGGTTTGGACGTGAAACAACTCGTACTCGTGGTGAATTACGATTGCCCGAATCATTACGAGGATTACGTGCACAGATGCGGACGAACGGGAAGAGCTGGGAACAAAGGGTAAGTTTTCATGTAATCAAGTAAGTTTTTCAATGTAAATACGCCTTGCAAAGAGGTTTACAGCGTAAGGGAGGCGCGAAAATACTATAAATTGTTCTTAAAGTTTAGTAATCGTAGGACATATCGTCCTTTACATCCCCAATCTTGCTGCAGTCCGCTGATTGGCTGTCGCCGAGCTTCGACACAGTTTTCGACCAATAGCTGCGAGTCAGCGGACTGTATCAGGAGTGGGGATGTAAACGCGATGTGTTTTCTCGTGGAAGAATGATAGGTAAGTGATATTTCATTCGAATAAAATGAAACGTGTAACGATATATTCGTGATGTTTATTAGATTCAATATTTACTTCTAACCTCAATGCTTACGACGCTTTTCGTCAAAAATGGAACAACACCGTGGAAAAGAATCGTACACTGACTTTTAGAGAGTTTATTAGAAAGAGGAAGCTTCTATCTTAACACTTTACCGACCGGTAGCCTATTAATCGACTGTTTTACCGGCCAACGCTTACCGATCGATAGCCTATTAATAAACTGTTTTATCGGTCGGTAAGTGTTGGCCGGTAAAACAGTCGATTAATAGGCTATCGGTCGGTAATGTGTTAAAACTTATTATGGGTTCGTGAAAAATGGTATATTCCTAGCAAACGGCCCGTTCACCGATCGGGGTGAGTTATACGTCTAATTCAATACATTATTGATATGCATTTCAGTATCCGCGGGAATTCGTTATTTTTTTATAAACTTGTCGTAAAGTTACAGTAAAAAAGTAAGGTTAAGTATATTTTGACAGGTCCACAGGTGGAAACAAGCGACTGTCGTTACTCTGTTCAAAATGCTAGCTAGTCAAATGCTAATTTGTTAAACATTTATCGAATGAAATTTCTACTATTTCTGCTAATATTTCATCGAATAAATCACCATTTTTCTATTTGGTACATTTACTAAATACATATTGGCTCAGGCATTCGATGAAGTTACTCTTCTTAAAAATATAAAATATCGATAGTATTATATGTTATAAAAAAGATTAAAAAATGTGTAGCATGCCTCCGAGTGGTTTCAATTTAATTCGTGTAAGCATCGGTAATGGGATCTTCGAAACTGACGCTGTGATTAATTTTCAAGCGACCTCTGTGATATTTTCTACGACAAAATGTTGATTCATCGATCTCGACAATCTACTCTACTCTTCCAATCGCTGAGCAGTATTTTTATTTAATTTTAGTTATATGATAATATGACATTGCTCATAATTATATGTTAGTATATATGTTAATTTTAAAACATCTACAGCTGAGTTTGTTTTTAGAAAACCACGCTCTTTGCTTTGCAAATATCTTTATATTACGATGTCTTTTACGTTTAGTTTGATCGACAGATCCTGGAATAGTTATCCTGCATTGCCAATTTTCATAACATTTTCACATCGCAGATAGTACAAGAAACAGAAGAAAAGCAGAAATTGTTTCGGTAATCATTTGTTTCGACTGTCATTTCTGATTTTCTTCTGTTTCTTGTACTTTGCGAATTTTGTTCAACCGTGCTATAAAAATGACCGAATCAGTAGTTCCAGAAGCGTGGACCTTATTTAAATTGCACGAATTTTGTAAAAATAAAGAAGCTTTATTAAAATGTTTGCAAGATAAAAAGTTGATTGCCAAAAATCTTAACACTAGATTGCCCAAGGAAGACATTTTGACTGCTTTTTAATTTCAATTAGAAAAACAATTATGTATATGATGACACAATTTCTTAGAATTTTGTGACTTTTTGCGCAACATATAAATGCGTTTATTAATAATTGTAGTTACCTCCCCCTCCTTCATTTCCGGTATATGTGTTATACCTATATTGGTCAAAAGCAGTCATTTTGACTGCTTGGGAAATTTTAAATAATCAAATCACTCTTATTATTGAATTGAGTAAATTTCTTATATGACCAGTTCGACTCTGTATTGAAATAACAGTTTTCATTTTTTTTCGATTACCAACACATGATAACATACAAGTACATGATAAATTGTCGATTTGGGCGTACCTAACCCAGACATAACCCAGACTTATTCCAGACCTAACCCAGACTTAATTCAGACCTAACCCAGACTTAATTCAGACCTAACCCAGACCTAACCCAGACTTAATTCAGACCTAACCCAGACCTAACCCAGACTTAATTCAGACCTAACCCAGACCTAACCCAAACTTAATTTAGACCTAACCCAGACTTAATTCAGACCTAACCCAGACCTAACCCAGACTTAATTCAGACCTAACCCAGACCTAACCCAAACTTAATTTAGACCTAACCCAGACTTAATTCAGACCTAACCCAGACCTAACCCAAACTTAATTCAGACCTAACCCAGACCTAACCCAGACCTATTGATAAATTGCAGTTTCTCAATAAGCTAAAGTAGTACTTGTTATTCGAATCTTTATGCAGTGATACTTGTTCTAACAAGTTGTTTATTTTATTTCTGCGCCCTAAATTCATAATATTATAACATAATAATAAAAATTAATTTTAAACAAATTTCTTTACACGTTAGTTAGTCTTTCACAATGCAGTCATTTTGACTGCTTTTGGGCAATATAGGTATATACTAAGTTTCAGTCTTTCTAGCGTTAATTGTCCACAGTGTGGAAACGTAATGAAATTAGACAATGAAAATTGGCGTTGTAGAAAAACAATTGCAGCATCTCTTAGTGCTTGCAAACGAAAGCGAACTTGTGATGTAAAAATGTGTGTAAAACGTGGAACGTGGTTTTCAAAAACAAAGCTTTCTTATGAAATGGTATTAAAATTAACTTACACGTTAGTCCATAATTTTGATCGATATCAGATTGTACGAGAATTACAATTGAATAAAAATACTGTTTCTCGATGGAATTATTTTGTAAAACAAGTTATGACTGATTGGCTACAACATTCGTGCGAAGTACTTGGCGGACCAGGCAAAATAGTAGAAATAGACGAATCTAAGTTCGGACGAAGAAAATATCACAGAGGTCATCGTGTAGAGGGACAATGGGTTTTTGGAGGAATAGAAAGAGGAAGTGGAAAAATATTCCTGGTGCCTGTTGAAAGTAGGGACACAGAGTCCCTGCTTTCAATAATTAAACAATGGGTGTTGCCTGGCACAACAATTATTTCAGATTGTTGGAAAGCCTGTAACATCTTAGAGAAAGAGGGGTACAAACATCTTACCGTAAATCACAGCTTACATTTCAAAGACCCAGAAACAGGCGCTCTTACAAATACGATAGAAACTACGTGGAGGCATAGTAAACACTTTTTGACTGAATATTGTCGGTTAGTATTTGTAATTTTGCACGTTTTTTAATATTTTCTGTAACATATAATACCATAAAATTTTCTATTTTTAGCAAAAATGATAATTTCATTGGGTATTTAAGCCACTATGTATTTTACAAATTTTCCAAGCAAGGAAAGGATGTATTTAAGCAGCTATTAAAAGAAATTGCAGAAATTTCATTTGATTCTACAGAAAACCAAAATATACCAGACCTAGATGACAATGAAATTTAATAATAAAAAAAAGTTAATCCAACGCACTGCATACAATAGTAATTTATTATATTCTCTACCCGTAAACACTGTTTGGGGGGGGGCAACATTTTTTGCTCTTGCTGCGTACACTGTCTACCTACAAGTACTGTCTGAGTTGGTCTGCATTATATGGAATTGTTGCGGCACATATTGTCTACCTGACCGACTCATGCAAAGTCTATCCGTAACAAAATGATTTTTATGCATACGCATTCTACAAATTCCCGGTTCGGCAATGTAGCATTATCAAATTAGATCAATCATTTATATTTGTAACATGGACATAGCAACGATAGTCACTTCTATCTGTGAACCTGCCAAAAAATGTACCTAACCTTACTTTTTTTACTGTAACTTTACAAGTTTATAAAAAAATAACGAACTTCCGCAGATAATGAAATGCATATCAATAATGTATCGAATTAGACGAATCGAATGACGTATAACTCGCCCCGATCGGTGAACGGGCCGTTTGCTAGGAATGTTCCAAAAAACCATTTTTATTTTCTCACATTTCTCCAAGTGTAAAAAGTCACTTGAAAGAAATGAATTTAAGAATACGAAAGTATAAAATTCAACCTTTAAAATGACTCTATAAATGTTGTATGATTATCTTGTACGAAGTTATCGTAGTTTAAAATTTGTGAACTTTTCAGTTTAGCGTTTGAATATTTATGATCGTTAATGCATCAAGAGGGTATATACAGGGTGTAGTCTAATAAAAACATGTATTCTATTTGATCTTGTTTCCAAGTTACCTCCATTTTTATACTCTTAGTAACGGGGCAACTTATCTTTATAGAAAGTACTTAAAATATAACTTTTGGTCCGTAAGCAAGTCTGCAATCATCGTGTCGTAGATCTTCTCGGTCTTTCGTAGATTACAAAAATGAAAATCCATAGAATTTAATAATTTTAGCAAGTTCTAGCATAATCTACTTATTTATTAGTAGACTGCGGATGTTTATGCATTTATGGGAAATTTTAATCCTCAGAAAACTACAGAATGCATTTAATATGCAAAGATATAAGAAATACTTAAACTAAGATACGAATTATTATATTTAGGGCTCTGCGAAGCTTACGTTTCATTAATTCTATTAATAAAACTGTGAATTTGCATAAAGATCCACAGTCTATTTAATAAGAAGTCGTATAAGAAGTTTCACTCTTTTAATTTACTATTTACGTATATTTATAAGTAGAATAACTAAAAAATAAATTGCGAAGCCAATACGACACAAAAATATTTCGTAACACTGATTAATTCACCGATAAAAAGGTTAATAAATTAATTTCTAATTTTTTATACGAGAAGGTTATACAAATATGTTATTTGGATTTTTGTGACTTTTAATTCGACCAGAGGTTTCATTTAAGTAACCTTTTATATTCAGCGAGCAAAAATTAAATGTATCGTAATCAATTGAAACAAACGTAACAAACCTTTTGTGCCGAGTGCAGAAATTCTGTCCTTTTGTCAGCGTAACACCTTCGAAGAAACTTAGAACCAATTGTTCGACAGCTATAAAATGTACACAATTTTTTTACAGCTACGCATACACATTCATCACATCGGAACAGGAACGATATGCTGGCGACATCCTTCGTGCCCACGAACTGGCTGGAGTCCCCGTACCAGAACCACTGCGCCACCTTTGGGAGGGTTACAAAGCCAGACAAGCAGCCGATGGGAAGAAAGTGCACACAGGTGGTGGTTTCAGTGGCAAGGGATTCAAATTCGACGAGTCGGAGGCAGCCCTGGCGAACGAGAAGAAGAAGTTCCAAAAGGCAGCTCTGGGACTGCAGGACTCCGACGACGAGGACATAGAAAACGACATAGATCAGCAGATAGAGAGTATGCTGGCGCCGAAGAGAACCGTTCGCGAGATCGCCAGACCATCCACCGCAAATATCGCTGTGCCTGGCCAACCAGTGCCCAGTGCAACCGACAAACTGGAGCTGGCCAGACGATTGGCGTCCAAGATCAACATAGCCAAGAACTTGGGGGCCGAAGCGAAGGGCGCGACCCAACAGGCTGCTGAAGCTATTCTGAAAGGAGCTGGACCCACCAATCTCATCACAGCAAAGACTGTCGCCGAACAACTGGCTGCGAAGTTGAATACCAAGCTGAACTATCAGCCTCGCGAGGAAGATCTCGTGGAGAGCGACGCAGAGACTGGCGAGCAGACGTTCCGCAAATACGAGGAGGAATTGGAGATCAACGACTTCCCGCAGCAGGCTAGGTGGCGCGTCACTAGCAAGGAAGCCCTCGCACAAATCTCCGAGTACTCCGAAGCTGGTCTCACCGTCAGAGGAACTTACATTGCCCCTGGCAAAGCTCCACCGGAAGGCGAGAGGAAGTTGTATTTAGCCATAGAGTCTACCAGCGAGCTGGCGGTGAGCAAGGCCAAGGCGGAGGTCTCGCGGCTCATCAAGGAAGAGCTGATCAAGTTGCAAGCGTCGGGGACCCATACCGCGTCACGCGGCCGATACAAAGTTTTGTAAAGACGCTCTCCGTTTTCTCCGTTGTACATGCAATCTTTACCGCACTACATTGATTTCACCGAAACTGCGTTAAAATTTAGAGATTTATTATTAAACTTACAAATGACTATACAAAAAAAAAAAAAACACTTTGTATTTAACGATACAATAACGAAGTATACTTAACGCTTTATGGAAGTATCGATCCTGTCAGTAATTCGTCCGCGAGCGATTCAAATTTCGCGCCGCGTCGTTGGTTCCAGTTTCGAGCTACAGAGGGCGCGCGCGCGGCGCGAAATTTGGATCGCTCGACAAGAGCATTTTCCATCGACTAATTTGTATAAGAATACACAACGGGAGATTCGGCGGACACGTTGTTTGGTAACATAAGTTAGGAGGACTTTTTATTTACAACTCGCATAATCATTTACAAGCGATTGTGCGTTTTTTTTTTTGTACACGTTCCACGTACTCCCCTTTTCTTTGGCAATATTAAAAGATCGACGAGAATACATTCTACTTTCCTGTATATTACGTAGGCACTAGAAGAATCACAGTCATGAAATTGGCGGCGCCGGACGGCGCCTTTAGGTAAATGAACAATGCTCTCTCGGCACCTTTGAAAATACGCGCGATCGAGGATGTCTCGCAATTGGGCCTCATAATTGGGTCCCATAATTGGGCCTCATAGTTGGGTCTCATAATTGGGCATCATAATTGGGTCTCGTAATTGGGTCTCATAATTGGGTCTCGTAATTGGGCCTCATAGTTGGGCCTCGTAATTGGGCCCCATAATTGGGTCTCATAATTGGGCCCCATAACTGGGTCTCGTAATTGGGCCCCATAACTGGACCTCATAATTGGGCCCCATAACTGGGCCTCATAATTGGGCCCCATAATCCCATAATTGGGCCCGCGTACCTCTCACCTTCCCTTTTCTCCATTACAGTTCTCACGAGATAAGTGTACGGACAAGGGTAGCAAGGAAGACCTTCGCGAGACATCCTCCAACCGTGATGGCACTGGATACGTAACTATGAGCAATCTCCGCTCCCGTGAGCGCTCCCAAGGGCACCTCGATCGCGATCTTAGGGCTCCTCTCCAAAATTCTGGTAACTAGCTTCTCAGTCTCCGTCACGCATGCGCGCAGCTGCAAAGTGGAAGGTCTCTTCGACGTGGGCTGAACGACGATGAACACGTCACGGTCAGGCGTCATCATTCCGCGAAGCGCGCACTGCGCCACCTGGATTTGTCGCCCCAGAGCGGTCAGCAGGGCCTCCAACGTGACGGAATCCTTGTCCACCTCCTCGTCCATCGTGTAGTATATCCTATCCAGCTGTAAACCGAAAAGAACAGTGTTTGTGATGTTAGAATGTTGACGAAACAGCGTTCCATATAGAAGAAAGATCGCGTACCTGTTTCTTGGAGTAGAACAGCTTCGCCGCGCCTGCGCAGACCGGACAACAGGCACCTGGCGGTGTCACCGCGACGCAGTAGGGCTTTATCAGCTGGGGGCACTGCACGAGATCGCCGCAACGAGACTTGGCTTGCTCGTCGATCAAACCGACAGCGACGCAAGGGCCAAAGTAATCGACGACGGTCCTCTCCGCCCAGGCGGCGCACTCGTTCGCGTAAACTTCGCCGTTCGCGCCGCAGACAGGACCCCTCAAGGTACATCCCTCCAAGCAGCGCCCTCTGTAGCCTAACGTGGCTCCAGCGCGGATCATGGCGCACACCGAGCGATGCTGACGGTTCTCTCTGTCGCAAACCGGCCTGCCGGACTCCTCGCGAGGATCACAGTCCAGAGGAACGCATTCGTACTGGCGACAGGGCTTGTGGAGCCTCGACAAGCATACTCTCGTCTTCCGGACGCACTTCTCCGTGCTGTCGCAAGTATTGGACGCGCATGGGTCGCGGGAAGAGCAGCTGCCAAACTCCACTTCGTTCGCTGACAGGTCTGCGCACTTCGCTAGACAGCCTGAGGCGAATGTGAAGCCCAGTCGTCCGCAGACAGGCACGTAGTGGGCGGGACAGTCGCAGGGCAGCGAGGGAACCCGTACTTCCCCGCAGCTCCTCTTAGCGCACGTGAATTCACCCTCGAAACAGTGACAGGGATTGCATTCCAGGTAGAAGTTGGCCTTGTGAGCGATGAAGCGATCGTGCACCCAGCAGGAGTGAAATTTGAAGCAGTTCAGCGTCTTGCATCCCACCATACCGCGCGGAGAGCACTGACAGATCCTGAGACATCCCTGCTGATCAAACCTAGGTATCTGCACCCAGGATCCAACCGGTACCAACTGCTTCGACATTTCCCCCAGGGAACAGCCTGGCACGCACCGGTAGATCTCACGCCCGTAGGGGAGCAGCTCGCAGACCTCGCCCTGGGCGCAGGGATTGCTTCTGCAGGGTGTCATGATGTCCTCCTCGAGGCGTATGGGTACAGACTCGTTCTCCTGAGGATCCTCCAGAAATGGCCTTAAGGAGACGCATGGAGCGTCCGATCTACCCGGTGACAACTTCGCGCACAGCGTGCTGGCTGTATGAGGACCTGTGATGGCGGACCAGTCCACGCAGCTGGCCATCAACTCCAGACAGTCCTCACGACAGAGTCTGGTCTCGTGGATCCTGGTCTCGCAAGGTCTCAGCTGCAGCAGACAAGCAGCTACGCGTAGCGTCTCTGGTGGGCAAGAAGCTGCAGCGCGGACAGGCACACCCAATCCTCGAACGATTCCTCCTCTGGACCAGTGATCCGCTTCCCATTTGGCTGCTTCGTCAGCTGCTGCTGAACAAGTCCTGGAAAAGAACGCAAAATGAGAGATAGAGATTACAAAAGTAGACAGGGTTGCATCGTTGCCCATGGAGTTGAGTCTCCAGTGAACATCTGGGCATTTTATGGCGAAGCAAGAGGTTACGGAGTGGGGATCAATTGTAGCAGTGGGCGATACAGGACATATACAAGGTGTATCTTGTGGGATTAATGATAATTTGAAGACTTTACCTAACCTAGACTTTGAGAATAGCAGTGGGGGGATTTGTCGATGACTTTTCTTTTTAATTTTCATAGTTGTCGGTACGGGGTTTGAACTGACCCAGACTTTGTACTCGATTAGTTCATGTTTGGTGATACGGTGGAAACGAATACGTGGACTCTGTGAATTTCAATAAAAATAATAGAATTATGGAGACGATTCGATGAAGTATGGTCCATATGGGATAACACATACGATACGGGACATATACAAGGTGTATCTTGTGGGATTAATGATAATTTGAAGACTTTACCTAACCTAGACTTTGAGAATAGCAGTGGGGGATTTGTCGATGACTTTTCTTTTTAATTTTCATAGTTGTCGGTACGGGGTTTGAACTGACCCAGACTTTGTACTCGATTAGTTCATGTTTGGTGATACGGTGGAAACGAATACGTGGACTCTGTAAATTTCAATAAAAATAATAGAATTATGGAGACGATTCTATGAAGTATGGTCCATATGGAATAACACATACGATACGAGACATATACAAGGTGTATCTTGTGGGATTAATGATAATTTGAAGACTTTACCTAACCTAGACTTTGAGAATAGCAGTGGGGGGATTTGTCGATGACTTTTCTTTTTAATTTTCATAGTTGTCGGTACGGGGTTTGAACTGACCCAGACTTTGTACTCGATTAGTTCATGTTTGGTGATACGGTGGAAACGAATACGTGGACTCTGTGAATTTCAATAAAAATAATAGAATTATGGAGACGATTCGATGAAGTATGGTCCATATGGGATAACACATACGATACGGGACATATACAAGGTGTATCTTGTGGGATTAATGATAATTTGAAGACTTTACCTAACCTAGACTTTGAGAATAGCAGTGGGGGGATTTGTCGATGACTTTTCTTTTTAATTTTCATAGTTGTCGGTACGGGGTTTGAACTGACCCAGACTTTGTACTCGATTAGTTCATGTTTGGTGATACGGTGGAAATGAATACGTGGACTCTGTAAATTTCAATAGAAATAATAGAATTATGGAGACGATTCGATGAAGTATGGTCCATATGGGATAACACATACGATACAGGACATATACAAGGTGTATCTTGTGGGATTAATGATAATTTGAAGACTTTACCTAACCTAGACTTTGAGAATAGCAGTGGGGGATTTGTCGATGACTTTTCTTTTTAATTTTCATAGTTGTCGGTACGGGGTTTGAACTGACCCAGACTTTGTACTCGATTAGTTCATGTTTGGTGATACGGTGGAAACGAATACGTGGACTCTGTGAATTTCAATAAAAATAATAGAATTATGGAGACGATTCTATGAAGTATGGTCCATATGGAATAACACATACGATACGGGACATATACAAGGTGTATCTTGTGGGATTAATGATAATTTGAAGACTTTACCTAACCTAGACTTTGAGAATAGCAGTGGGGGGATTTGTCGATGACTTTTCTTTTTAATTTTCATAGTTGTCGGTACGGGGTTTGAACTAACCCAGACTTTGTACTCGATTAGTTCATGTTTGGTGATACGGTGGAAACGAATACGTGGACTCTGTGAATTTCAATAAAAATAATAGAATTATGGAGACGATTCGATGAAGTATGGTCCATATGGGATAACACATACGATACGGGACATATACAAGGTGTATCTTGTGGGATTAATGATAATTTGAAGACTTTACCTAACCTAGACTTTGAGAATAGCAGTGGGGGATTTGTCGATGACTTTTCTTTTTAATTTTCATAGTTGTCGGTACGGGGTTTGAACTGACCCAGACTTTGTACTCGATTAGTTCATGTTTGGTGATACGGTGGAAACGAATACGTGGACTCTGTAAATTTCAATAAAAATAATAGAATTATGGAGACGATTCTATGAAGTATGGTCCATATGGAATAACACATACGATACGAGACATATACAAGGTGTATCTTGTGGGATTAATGATAATTTGAAGACTTTACCTAACCTAGACTTTGAGAATAGCAGTGGGGGGATTTGTCGATGACTTTTCTTTTTAATTTTCATAGTTGTCGGTACGGGGTTTGAACTGACCCAGACTTTGTACTCGATTAGTTCATGTTTGGTGATACGGTGGAAACGAATACGTGGACTCTGTGAATTTCAATAAAAATAATAGAATTATGGAGACGATTCGATGAAGTATGGTCCATATGGGATAACACATACGATACGGGACATATACAAGGTGTATCTTGTGGGATTAATGATAATTTGAAGACGCAGAAACAGTGAAAGAAGTTTGTATAAACGTGTGTTCTATTTAACCTTGTTTCCATGTTAAGACAGTTTTGTAGCCCGATAATGTGCTATTATTTAGGTACCTCCACAGATGGCGCTTTAAAATGTAGCCAAAATGCATGTTTATAGATGTCCTGTCGCATAGTTTATTAATATTCAAATACTCCAGGTATTTTGTCAGATTTGTAGCAACCTTATCGAATACAGTCATATATTTACATTTTAATAGGTTTTGGAACAGTCGACGTAAATAAAGGAAGTACGTACAGTGGTCCCTCGCTAATATTATCTATAACTCGCAATCATTAATGATTGCAACAACGAATAAATCACCAAAAGAACAAAAACAAAATTGTTATACTTTCCAAGTCATAACTATCAAATTATTTTAATCGCTTAGCTGAACTTGACACCAAACAAGGCCATGTTTGTTTTCACGGTTAAGAATTAGAAAAGGAATGGAATTATATACTCTTTACGATAGTAATATAAGTAAAATGAAAACTACTAACTATAAATAACATTATTTTTGATAATAATAACCTATCGAAGCCTTGAAAACACTCTTAAAACCAGTACGAATGTATGAAATTCGTACCGAATGGGTTAAATAGTTGAATTCGTTGTTCGGCTATCATAATAACCGTGTCACACTTTTTTCTGATTCTTCGTTAGATACACGTTACATATTCAACTCAAAATCATTGAAACCTGTTTGCGTGTTGGTATTAGTTTCATATCTCGTACATTTGATCGAGCCAGTGTTATAACGATAAGCCACCAGAAATATAGGACCAAACGTTAATTGTGAAAAAGAAATTGTTTCTTAATTTTATACAGGAAGTAAAATCATAAACTACTGTTTCTTACAATTCACCATTTTAAATCATTATCCACTGTTTTCCATTAGGTCAATATTAATTTTTCTGTGATTTGTAACTTTACGTTACTTAAGGAATTTCTTGTAAAATTTTAAACATATTTTGAAGGGACCACAGACGTGAAGATTTATTGTACAATTAGTTTGTACAACTATCATTGCACCTCGTTGCATCGACTTTTTATATAACAAATAGTCACGTTTGTAACTATTTTTATTAATTTTATTCGCTATGATTTCCTTAATTTTACTGTCATATTAACCCTTTGCGGTCGTATGTCTACTCTCAGCCACCAAAGCCTTTTTACAGCAAGGAACTATACGAATCGTATACCGTACGCATTCATGTATCAGTTTACACTTTTCCTATACGAACCTCAATGCCTGAAGGACCTATTCACGAACCAATACGATGCTCCATCAATTGGAGATAACGTAATCTAATGTACACAAAAGTTGTAACTCGTCGTGCAAGACGCAGTGGCGAGTCAGTCGTCTTTTGAACGTAGTGAAATCGACAACGTTCGACGATACCTTGTAGAATTCCAAGGAATATTTTATAAATTGTATTTAACAGCAATTAGACATTCTCTCTTCTTAAAATATTCGAAAACAATTCCCCAAAATGCGATACATGCACTCGAAAACCTGGGGCCTGCATGTTGGAGAGTGTTTTGAAAAATATCACAACGAAGGAGAATTATAAAACATAATTTTTATAGAAAAACATATCGCAAGATGAGTGTATCGAATAAAGATATATCTAAAGTTCACAAAAGAATTACTAGAACTCGTTTATACATCGTAAACTTGCGTGTTATGTATCCCTGCTCTATCGACGGGAATTAATTCCGACCAGTACCGATACCCATCTCCAAATTTAATCCGACCGCAAAGGGTTAAGTGTACAACTTCGCTTCCGCCATTTTTTCCCGTGGCTTTGTGGCGTTTTGAAATGGCTTGTTGAGTTACTCCCAATGATTGTGCCAATTCTTCTCGAGTTTGACAGCGAAATTGATGAAATTGTTTCGATATTAATATACACGCGCGAGAGACTCAGCGACCGCCACTTGGAAGGGAATTCCCCTACGGTCGACCAGTGCTCTCGCGTAAAGCGCCATCTTGCGGCCACATGCGCGCCATCTTGCGGTCACCATTCTTGAAGCGTTGAGACCACTCGCGACACGTTCGTTCGCTAAGATTTCTTCATATCGAAGCAGAAAATCAAAACCTCCCGTGAATAACAAAAATTTGGCTCGTAAATTGACATTTTCGATCGGGAATAACTTTACGACACAGACACAAATCGACCAATATTTCTATGGGGTTATAAAGGTTCTATGATCAAGTTAATTACTAACACTTATGATCCATTTATTTCGACCACCATGTACCACTAAAACCAGCTATTGGAAAACAGCGGAAGCAAAGTTGTACACTTAATAGTCAATCATGTCAATTATTTTGATCAATTAGTAGATGTACAAGTATTCAAACTGTCAGACTGCGTCAAACATCGCTTTTGCATTCTTAAGAAAGTGTCTGTACAGGCAAATTTGGAGCGAAGCAAGAAAGGAACATGTGAAATTGAATTTAAATTTCATTCGTAGAGACTTTACCTAAACAGTGTTGTCGATCTGTCGTTGAATCGAGCGCAGTACGAGAGTCCGGAGCAGCCCATCTCGCAGGGGTCCTCTGCATCCTCGAGACACCTTCTCAACTCTCCCTCCATGTTGGAAGACAGACATTCCGCATCAAGCTGTACCCAAGCGAACTCCCAATCGGCCTGGAACGCTCTCCAGCACAAATTCTGGCAGGACGGTTTGGTTGCCTTCGTGCAGCATGACAGCTTGCCTGCGTCCAGAGGCAAACGTGCTGGTTTCGAGGATCCTGACTTCAACAGACAACTCCAGATCGGCGTCTGTGGCAAAACTGGTCTACACTTCTCCGACAGAGCATCCATGATCTCCTGCTCTGTCGTCGCAGTGTGGAGGACCCTTTTGCAAGTCTCCAGGCATGCCGGTGTCATAGCTTCGTTGCAGCAATGCAAATCTGTCGTGGAAAGGAACTTATACTATTCGACACGATGAAGATGCTGCTTAACTTCTATTTACAAGGGATTTTAATCATTTTTGCAGGGTTTGAACAGTTAAAAATGTTATAATTGTTACGAATATATCGGTTCTAGCCTATATTGGTTTCAGTTACGGTTTTGTAATCGTTATTCTTCAGTTCTAGTTCGTAACGGTTCGTGGTTCTTGTTGAATTTGTGAAAATGTTAATGCGTAGACATAAAATGTTATAAGTGTGATGTTAAATGTTATAAAAGAATTTATGTTTTAAAAATGAATTCTTAGTTATTTATAATTTTGTTATAATTTAATCTTATGTGTTAATAGTTACATTTTTACATGATCTTTTCATTCTGAAGCATTTCACGTTACTAATATATTTAAAATCATTAAGATTTTGAATTATTATATTTAGGGCTCTGCGAAGCTTACGTTTCATTAATTCTATTAACAAAAATGTGATTTTGCATAAAGATCCGCAGTCTACTTTTGCGCAATTGTACAAATGATTTTATAATGATAATAACGTTCCCTTAAATGGGTAAACAATGCATTTATTATTTAATAAAAATTTCATCCATCTCTGGTTTCACTTACGTTGTTTGGGATCTTCTGCGTGCTTCACCTCGGCGACAGTTTTCAAGCACTTTGGAACCTGATGGAAGCAACCTTTGCTGCTGTACATCTTCAGGTTCGAGATCTTCCCGGGTTTGTAGAACAAATCCCTGCATATGGACCTGCAGGTGTCGTTGGACACATTGTTGCAGCAATGTTCCGCTTCTGCTCGCCTCTCCAAGCACGAGAAGAATTCTGGCTCGTCGCTTGGCCTACAAGACTCGCTCAGGTGTCTTCTGGATCCTGATATAGCGCACGTGGATCGACATATAGGGTTAAGCGCCAAATAACAGCAACCCCTTCCTGTCCAATTCCCATGTTTCCTTATCTCTGCAAGAGAGGCAACGTTGGTTAAATATATATAATTGGAAAAAAATCGGGAACATTCCTAGCAAACCCGTTCACCGATCGGGGTGAGTTATACGTCATTCGATACGTCTAATTCAATACATTATTGATATGCATTTCATTATCTGCGAAAATTCGTTATTTTTTTATAAACTTGTAAAGTTACAGTAAAAAAGTAAGGTTAGGTACATTTTTTGGCAGGTTCACAGATAGAAGTGACTATCGTTGCTATGTTCATGTTACAAATATAAATGATTGATCTAATTTGATAATGCTACATTGCCGAACCGGGAATTTGTAGAATGCGTATGCATAAAAATCATTTTGTTACGGATAGACTTTGCATGAGTCGGTCAGGTAGACGCATGTGCTGCAACAATTCCCCCCCAAATATAACCCAGACCAACTCAGACAGTACTTGTAGGTAGACAGTGTACGCAGCAAGAGCAAAAAATGTTGCCCCCCCCACAAACAGTGTTTACGGGTAGAGAATATAATAAATTACTATTGTATGCAGTGCGTTGGATTAACTTTTTTTTATTATTAAATTTCATTGTCATCTAGGTCTGGTATATTTTGGTTTTCTGTAGAATCAAATGAAATTTCTGCAATTTCTTTTAATAGCTGGTTAAATACATCCTTTCCTTGCTTGGAAAATTTGTAAAATACGTAGTGGCTTAAATACCCAATGAAATTATCCTTTTTGCTAAAAATAGAAAATTTGATGGTATTGTATGTTACAGAAAATATTAAAAAACGTGCAAAATTACAAATACCAACCGACAATATTCAGGCAAAAAGTGTTTACTATGCCTCCACGTAGTTTCTATCGTATTTGTACGAGCGCCTGTTTCTGGGTCTTTGAAATGTAAGCTGTGATTTACGGTAAGATGTTTGTACCCCTCTTTCTCTAAGATGTTACAGGCTTTCCAACAATCTGAAATAATTGTTGTGCCAGGCAACACCCATTGTTTAATTATTGAAAGCAGGGACTCTGTGTCCCTACTTTCAACAGGCACCAGGAATAGTTTTCCACTTCCTCTTTCTATTCCTCCAAAAACCCATTGTCCCTCTACACGATGACCTCTGTGATATTTTCTTCGTCCGAACTTAGATTCGTCTATTTCTACTATTTTGCCTGGTCCGCCAAGTACTTCGCACGAATGTTGTAGCCAATCAGTCATAACTTGTTTTACAAAATAATTCCATCAAGAAACAGTATTTTTATTCAATTGTAATTCTCGTACAATCTGATATCGATCAAAATTATGGACTAACACGTAAGTTAATTTTAATACCATTTCATAAGAAAGCTTTGTTTTTGAAAACCACGTTCCACGTTTTACACACATTTTTACATCACAAGTTCGCTTTCGTTTGCAAGCACTAAGAGATGCTGCAATTGTTTTTCTACAACGCCAATTTTCATTGTCTAATTTCATTACGTTTCCACACTGTGGACAATTAACGCTAGAAAGACTGAAACTTAGTATATACCTATATTGGCCAAAAGCAGTCATAATGACTGCATTGTGAAAGACTAACTAACGTGTAAAGAAATTTGTTTAAAATTAATTTTTAATATTATGTTATAATATTATGAATTTAGGGCGCAGAAATAAAATAAACAACTTGTTAGAACAAGTATCACTGAATAAAGATTCGAATAACAAGTACTACTTTAGCTTATTGAGAAACTGCAATTTATCAATAGGTCTGGGTTAGGTCTGGATTAGATCTGGATTAGATCTGGGTTAGGTCTGGTTTAGGTCTGGGTTAGGTCTGGGTTAGGTCTCATTTACACTGTTGTTGTATTTTGTAATTTCCAAGTGTATGATTTGGTTTGGACTCGAAAAAATGTCGAATGGGACTTGACGAACAATGCTTTTAAGTGTTTTATTTGAAAATTACCTGTTAAAATAATTGTTTTATTTACACTGTTGTTGTATTTTGTAATTTTTAAGTGTATGATATCTGTTTGGTTTGGACTTGACAGAATGTCGAGTGAGACTTGACGAAGGTGCTCCTGCGATCAAAATTGATGTCGAATCACACTCGACATAGGAGTGCAAAGGGTTAAGATAATTTGAATTATTAACTAACCCAGACCTAACCCAGACCTAAACCAGACCTAACCCAGATCTAATTCAGATCTAATCCAGACCTAACCCAGAGCTAACTCAGATCTAATCCAGACCTAACTCAGATCTAATCCAGACCTAACCCAGACCTAACCCAGACCTAACCCAGACCTAACACAGATCTAATTCAGATCTAATCCAGACCTAACCCAGAGCTAACTCAGATCTAATCCAGACCTAACTCAGATCTAATCCAGACCTAACCCAGACCTAAACCAGACCTAACCCAGATCTAATTCAGATCTAATCCAGACCTAACCCAGAGCTAACTCAGATCTAATCCAGACCTAACCCAGACCTAACCCAGACCTAACTCAGATCTAACTCAGATCTAATCCAGACCTAACCCAGATCTAGGGTCTGGGTTAGGTCTGAGTTAGGTCTGGGTTATGCCTCGGTTAGGTCTGGGTTAGGTCTGGATTAGATCTGGGTTAGGTCTGGGTTAGGTACGCCCAAATCGACAATTTATCATGTACTTGTATGTTATCATGTGTTGGTAATCGAAAAAAAATGAAAACTGTTATTTCAATACAGAGTCGAACTGGTCATATAAGAAATTTACTCAATTCAATAATAAGAGTGATTTGATTATTTAAAATTTCCCAAGCAGTCAAAATGACTGCTTTTGACCAATATAGGTATAACACATATACCGGAAATGAAGGAGGGGGAGGTAACTACATTTATTAATAAACGCATTTATATGTTGTGCAAAAAGTCACAAAATTCTAAGAAATTGTGTCATTATATACATAATTGTTTTTCTAATTGAAATTGAAAAGCAGTCAAAATGACTTCCTTGGGCAATCTAGTGTTAAGATTTTTGGCAATCAACTTTTTATCTTGCAAACATTTTAATAAAGCTTCTTTATTTTTACAAAATTCGTGCAATTTAAATAAGGTCCATGCTTCTGGAACTACTGATTCTGTCATTTTTATAGCACGGTTGAACAAAATTCACAAAGTACAAGAAACAGAAGAAAATCAGAAATGACAGTCGAAACAAATGATTACCGAAACAATTTCTGCTTTTCTTCTGTTTCTTGTACTATCTGCGATGTGGAAATGTTATGAAAATTGGCAATGCAGGATAACTATTCCAGGATCTGTCGATCAAACTAAACGTAAAAGACATCGTAATATAAAGATATTTGCAAAGCAAAGAACGTGGTTTTCTAAAAACAAACTTGGCTATAGATGTTTTAAAATTAACATATATACTAACATATAATTATGAGCAATGTCATATTATTATATAACTAAAATTAAATAAAAATACTGCTCAGCGATTGGAAGAGTAGAGTAGATTGTCGAGATCGATGAATGAACATTTTGTCATAGAAAATATCACAGAGGTCGCTTGAAAATTAATCACGGCGTCAGTTTCGAAGATCCCATTACCGATGCTTACACGAATTAAATTGAAACCACTCGGAGGCATGCTACACATTTTTTAATCTTTTTTATAACATATAATACTATCGATATTTTATATTTTTAAGAAGAGTAACTTCATCGAATGCCTGAGCCGTTATGTATTTAGTAAATGTACCAAATAGAAAAATGGTGATTTATTCGATGAAATATTAGCAGAAATAGTAGAAATTTCATTCGATAAATGTTTAACAAATTAGCATTTGACTAGCTAGCATTTTGAACAGAGTAACGACAGTCGCTTGTTTCCACCTGTGGACTTGTCAAAATATACTTAACCTTACTTTTTTACCGTAACATTACGACAAGTTTATAAAAAAATAACGAATTTCCGCGGATAATGAAATGCATATCAATAATGTATTGAATTAGACGTATAACTCACCCCGATCGGTGAACGGGCCGTTTGCTAGGAATATACCAAAAATCGTTCGAGATCTCACCGTTCAAAGTAGAGTTGGCGCAGGCCCAGAATTCCGTCTGAAAAAAAAACAGAACAGAGGCGTGGAATAGATAAAAAGTGAAAACCGAGGCGGAACGTAAGAACGTATCGTCAAGAGTCTCTCGTAACGCGAGCCCATTGAACCTCGTCCCTTTCATCGAACCGCTTAAAAGTATTGTCGGCGGATGACGGCTCCGCTTGTCAGGCTCGAATACGGATTAAAAGGATCGATTAAAGGCGGCTTACCAGCTCCAGGGAACAGAACTCCATCAGCCGTCGTGTCGCGTTTTCCCTCGCCTCCGCTTCTGCGCCCAGCGCGACCAACGAGATCTGAAAGCAATCATTTTTTTTCTCTCTTTTCAATTTTCGCTCGAACGTCGATCTGGCGTAAGAAAAGCCGTTGGCACAAAAAAAAAAAAAAAAAAAGAAAAAGAAGGACCCGTAAGGTATAAAATATAAAATGGCACAGCTGTGTATCTCCACCGATGGGAATTTCCACGATTTCGAATGCGTGTCGCGACGCGTTCGAGGTTATTAAGAATCAAGGACGCGAGTACGCCACCGTCAACGATTTCCTGTTGCTCGTCGCTGAATGACAATAGACCCCGCGCGGATATCGACTGCTCGGCCATTTGGGGGCTTCATTTTCGATTCGATCAGCGTCCACGAGGACGCGTTCATTCCGTACTCTCGTCACGATCGCGAGTTACGACCATCCCATCGGGGTCTGTGCGCGGTGGGTCCTGTTAGGTCTTCGACGTTCTTGCCTCGGGTCAGAGGTAGCTTTCGTTTTAACCGAATAATAATTTACAGAGCTGGGTGAAATAGTATTTTCAATAGTAAATAGTAAATAATCCTATTTATTTTAAATTATAAGCACAACTTTACGAAAAATAAAACATTTTATTCGATGCTGTAATTTTTTAAAGTACAGGTAGCCCTCCTATAACACGATTTAAAAATTGCGAGAACCTTTCTACGACACTGTACTTTTACAGCACTGGATAATATGATTTCTAACATATTTATAAACTAAATTACCTCAAAGTATATAATTTATTGAATTAACGTTGTGTTCAATTAAAATAATATCTTTTGTTTTTTTTTTTAGCGTTTTAGGTTAAATGCACCTTTTGTTGGTTATTAGTGAGCACAATTAGGTTACCTAGTGGAACTGATCATATTTAGAGCAATTGGTATACTTTAATGTCTTTTAATAAGTTTAAAATCTTTTCCCCCATGAGTCTATTTCTCGTAGGATCGTTAGTGAATTTTGTAGCGTTGGTCGGTAAAGAAGTTGATTAATACGCTATCGGTCGGTAAGTGTTGGTCGGTAAAAAAATTGATTAATAGGCTATCGGTCGGTAATGTGTTAATATTGTATTTAGGGCAAATTGTCGTTTTGTGTTATACTGTTGTTATATTGGAATACAATGTTGGTACCACTTGTATGTCGTTATATCGAAATACAATGTTGGTACCACCTGTATGTTGTTATATTTGAATACAATGTTGGTACCACTTGTATGTCGTTATATCGAAATACAATGTTGGTACCACCTGTATGTTGTTATATTTGAATACAATGTTGGTACCACTTGTATGTCGTTATATCGAAATACAATGTTGGTACCACCTGTATGTTGTTATATTTGAATACAATGTTGGTACCACTTGTATGTCGTTATATCGAAATACAATGTTGGTACCACCTGTATGTTGTTATATTTGAATACAATGTTGGTACCACTTGTATGTCGTTATATCGAAATACAATGTTGGTACCACCTGTATGTTGTTATATTTGAATACAATGTTGGTACCACTTGTATGTCGTTATATCGAAATACAATGTTGGTACCACTTGTATGTCGTTATATTTGAATACAATGTTGGTACCACCTGTATGTTGTTATATTTGAATACAATGTTGGTACCACTTGTATGTCGTTATATCGAAATACAATGTTGGTACCACTTGTATGTCGTTATATCGAAATACAATGTTGGTACCACCTGTATGTTGTTATATTTGAATACAATGTTGGTACCACTTGTATGTCGTTATATCGAAATACAATGTTGGTACCACCTGTATGTTGTTATATTTGAATACAATGTTGGTACCACTTGTATGTCGTTATATCGAAATACAATGTTGGTACCACCTGTATGTTGTTATATTTGAATACAATGTTGGTACCACTTGTATGTCGTTATATCGAAATACAATGTTGGTACCACCTGTATGTTGTTATATTTGAATACAATGTTGGTACCACTTGTATGTCGTTATATCGAAATACAATGTTGGTACCACCTGTATGTTGTTATATTTGAATACAATGTTGGTACCACTTGTATGTTGTTATATCGAAATACAATGTTGGTACCACCTGTATGTTGTTATATTTGAATACAATGTTGGTACCACCTGTATGTTGTTATATTTGAATACAACGTTGGTACCACTTGTATGTCGTTATATCGAAATACAATGTTGGTACCACCTGTATGTTGTTATATTTGAATACAATGTTGGTACCACTTGTATGTCGTTATATCGAAATACAATGTTGGTACCACCTGTATGTCGTTATATCGAAATACAATGTTGGTACCACCTGTATGTTGTTATATCGAAATACAATGTTGGTACCACCTGTATGTTGTTATATTTGAATACAATGTTGGTACCACTTGTATGTCGTTATATCGAAATACAATGTTGGTACCACCTGTATGTTGTTATATTTGAATACAATGTTGGTACCACTTGTATGTCGTTATATCGAAATACAATGTTGGTACCACCTGTATGTTGTTATATTTGAATACAATGTTGGTACCACTTGTATGTCGTTATATCGAAATACAATGTTGGTACCACCTGTATGTTGTTATATTTGAATACAATGTTGGTACCACTTGTATGTCGTTATATCGAAATACAATGTTGGTACCACTTGTATGTCGTTATATTTGAATACAATGTTGGTACCACCTGTATGTTGTTATATTTGAATACAATGTTGGTACCACTTGTATGTCGTTATATCGAAATACAATGTTGGTACCACCTGTATGTTGTTATATTTGAATACAATGTTGGTACCACTTGTATGTCGTTATATCGAAATACAATGTTGGTACCACCTGTATGTCGTTATATCGAAATACAATGTTGGTACCACCTGTATGTTGTTATATCGAAATACAATGTTGGTACCACCTGTATGTCGTTATATCGAAATACAATGTTGGTACCACCTGTATGTTGTTATATCGAAATACAATGTTGGTACCACCTGTATGTTGTTATATTTGAATACAATGTTGGTACCACTTGTATGTCGTTATATCGAAATACAATGTTGGTACCACCTGTATGTTGTTATATTTGAATACAATGTTGGTACCACTTGTATGTCGTTATATCGAAATACAATGTTGGTACCACTTGTATGTCGTTATATTTGAATACAATGTTGGTACCACCTGTATGTTGTTATATTTGAATACAATGTTGGTACCACTTGTATGTCGTTATATCGAAATACAATGTTGGTACCACCTGTATGTTGTTATATTTGAATACAATGTTGGTACCACTTGTATGTCGTTATATCGAAATACAATGTTGGTACCACCTGTATGTTGTTATATTTGAATACAATGTTGGTACCACTTGTATGTCGTTATATCGAAATACAATGTTGGTACCACCTGTATGTTGTTATATTTGAATACAATGTTGGTACCACTTGTATGTCGTTATATCGAAATACAATGTTGGTACCACCTGTATGTTGTTATATTTGAATACAATGTTGGGTACCACCTGTAAGAGTGTCAATCTTGACATCACACATTTGTATTTTTCATCAAAATTAAGTTGCTCATGTAGAATTGAAAAAAAATATTTGTTTTTAATCAATTTTAGGAACGTAACTCCACTTTTTGTACTGGCTTTGGGTCTCATATAACACGGTTTCACACAACACGGTATTTTCTGGGAACCTATCTACCGTGTTATAGGAGGGTTATCTGTATTTTAAATAGTAAATAGTAAATATGAGTACAACTTTATGAATAGAATATTTTATTTGATGCAGTAATTTTTGAAAGTACAGGCAGCCCTCCTATAACACGGTTTCGCTATAACACGATTCATAAATTGCGAGAATCATATACATACATTTGTATTTTTCATCTATACATACATTTGTATTAGGCTTTGTCTATTCACTAAAAATGATTTAGAACAATTTCAAATTTTTTTTTTTCACCGAAAAATTTCGCACATTCTCGAATTTTGTTTCTAGAAAGTGGGTAGGATACCGGCAGTATGTCTATTGACAAAAAATGATTGTAATGGAACCCCGCAACTAAAAATATTTTTTCCAGAACGATTTGAAATTTTTTTTTTTTCGTCAAAAAATATAGACGTCCGAATTTTTTTCTCGAAAGTGCTTAGGATTTCGGGGGTATGTCTATTCACCAAAAATGATTGTAATCGACCCCCGCAACTAAAAATATTTTTTCCAGAACGATTTGAAATTTTTTAATTTAATTTTGTTAATAACTTTTTAACGAAGCCTCGATCATGAAATTGATATTCTTGATTTTCGTCTTATTTTAACCTCCGGGATCTCCCATTAAAATTTCTGGAACCTTTGAAAGAATAATTGTCTTCTCTTATCATTGATATATTTAACAATAAATCGTTTCAAAATTCCAAGTATTCGTGGTAGTCAAAATTTTGTGCAAAACGTTCAATTTTCTTCTTGAGCTTCGAAATATCTTGACACGGTCGGAATACGTTTTCTACGGACCACCTTGTGAAAGGAAATCACGTAGAAATGCTCTTTACCCAATATTTCATGTGTCGAAGCGACAGGCGTCGGTGGAATGTGACGTATAATACAACTTCGAGGTGCAGAAACAGCTCGAAAAAGGCTGTCTGGTCGTCTTGACTACCGGATGAGCTCCTTTGTGAATTTAGAAGCAAAGTCACCGGAAACGTTAATGTGGAACCCTATGTTTAACACACTGTGCCAACAATATTTTCCACGAATGAACATACTTTCAGTTTTTTAAAGTCGCTGAATCGGTAGATCGTAATTTTTCATTTAAATTTGTTGCTTTTGGGACGAGAATTTCTCGATGTTAACACATTACCGACCGATAGCCTGTTAATCGACTTTTTTTACCGGCCAACGCTTACCGACCGATAGCGTATTAATCAACTTTTTTACCGACCAACGCTTACCGACCTATAGCCGATTAATCAACCGCTACCGGTCGGTAAAGTGTTAAGTATTGGCTCA